TCTCTCTCTCTCTCTCTCTCTCTCTCTCTCTCTCTCTCTCTCTCTCTCTCTCTCTGTGATCATCAGTCTCTGATCCCTCAATTCCATCAGTCACTGCAATCATCACGTGCCCGGTCGGCGCGCGCAAACCCAACGCTCGCCCATGTGATCTTTGTACCCCAAAACGTGCTCAGTCCTTAAACGAGGAAAACACAGCTACAACCCACCCCCGGACAACGCAAATGACCCGTAACCGAAACTGCTATTGCGCACGATCCAATACCTTGTTTCAACACGGTCCAACACATTTCAACACATTCCAATACACTTTCAACACGTTTCAACACATTTCAACAAGGTTTCAACAACATTTCAACAACTCTTCAACAAAATTTCAACAAGCTACCAACAATGGATCAACAGTTGGACCAACTGTCTGTCAACAGTTGAACACACAAGTTTCAGTGTCCCCAATATACGGTCAGTGTTGGTTTCCTTCAGTTTGTGTTGAACACATGCCCCCCCCCCCGGCCAACGGTTTATAAACAGTTGAAATGTGGTGGTTCAACATGGCAAAAAAATTGCCACATTTTTTCTGTTGCATTGAGGGGTCGATTGGGGCGCGAGTCCGGGAAGGGTTTCTAGGCAGGGTGTCATCTTAGACAGGGGGGGAGGGGGTTGTCGCATTGATGTAGAAGGGTAGCTTTGCCGGCCATAGAGTCTGCAGGACGTGATACAAGGGGGGAATGACCGTGTATCCGTGACCCCTCTTGTATTCGGGTTGTCTTTGAGATTCGGGGTGTCACTGTAGTAGCGCTCTGGGGGAAGTGTCTAGAACCCCTTGGAAGACACAGGCTGGTGTAGTAGGTCTAGGTCCAGATGGAGAGGTCTGGGTCGCACCGTTGTGCTCTACTTGCGATAAAATTAGGATATAATAGGTCACGAATGACCCCCCTTGGAGGAAGACTGTCCTTGGGGTTGTCACAAGCCATCCGATCCGCTTACTGGTTGAGTACGACCATAGACACCTCTCGAGCGAACCCACCCGGCGTTTAATCCATGGGGCGTTAAACCACCAGTTATTGACTCAGCTATAGGGGCTCGCCGAACGGTACACGAAATGAAAAAAAAAAACTACTTCGTTTCGTGAACATCTCGCCTGGAACTCGCAAGAACTCGCAGGTCCTCTTGAGGGCCGGTGGAGGTGTTGTGAATCGCCGCGAGTCTGCGAAACCCGTCCAAACGGAGTGCGTCCAAAATTTTGGACCTTAGCGCATGCCAGAACTCACGACCATGCCCTGGAGTGGACATTACTGCATGCGAGATCTCGTCAGGTAACTCCCGCGAGGCAGTTCGAATGTGTTGTCGGACGGGGAGACCAAATGAAAGGATGATTTACGGGTTCGTGAAGCCCTGTGAGCTCGATGGTCGTTTCATTTCGTTTCTTGTGCCGTCTGGCGAGGTCCATGGCCACGAGCGTATCCCATTAACATGCCGCATTTGGGGGGGGTCGTTCACATGAATGTCTGGTCGGTGAGAATTGCGACCTACAAAAGCAAGAACCAAAAAAAAAAAAACTCCTTTTCTTTGTGGAATGCTTCTAACTAATATTTCAGTTAGATTCTTGATATCATTTTTTTTTCTGTTTTTGTTTTTTTTTAATTTTTCTTAGGTTCCCCTGCCAGCGAGGCAGGGCAAATCCCGTGATCTACAAAACAGCCCTCGTTGAGGGCATACTCACACTTGCACACAGACAAATGTATCTTACTAATTTCAGTGTCAAATTCATGGTTTTTTTTTTTCTTCTTTGAGATTCGTCTCTTTGTTTTTTCTTTTTTCTTTTTCCACTTTTGGATTCTGACAAAAACGCCACGTGCTCACACTAGCAATCAGAAAAGGTGTTGGAAACAGAAAATAAATATGACCCTAAATTTAATAATAAAAAAAAAAATAGTCATCCAATAAACTTCGTGCAGACAAAGCACCCCCTACCCCCCATTTCCCCCGGAGGGGACACTGATCAGCAAGAGACAAAAACTACGAATGCTGGTGGCAGGAGGTTATGCGGAACTAACTTTATCCAAACTCGGGGTCCTTATCCTGCCAGTCAGACTCAGAGAAGGTAAATGGGAGGTAGGTTTGTCTGAGCCAGTAGGCTCAGCACATGGAGAAATCACTTTACATGGAACCCCTGCTTCCCAATTCTCCTCTATGACTGATAACCTGCTAGGTGAGGCCCGTTTCAAAGTTGAAATTGTTAAAATAATTCAGGAAAATTTCCCTCCTCGAGAACTGGCAGTACTAATCCTATCAGCGGATACTCAGAGAATCTCGGCCAGAGACATCTTCCTCAGATACGATCAAGCACGTGCAACTAACTTGCGCTGGTTCACTCACGACTCACTAGCGGAGATACAACAACTCAAGATAAAAGGGGGGTTTTCTGGTCGGAATTTGATGTCACAACACTTCTCTCACGTCTTCTAAAAAACAATCAGCAACTTCTTGAGAAGGGCAGTAAATTGGATTCCGGTCACTGGTTGTCCCTTTAAATAAGTATAATATATATATATATATATATATATATATATATATATACACACATCTATATAAATATATATAGATAACCGTACATCTCTATCCTGCAAAAATGGATAATACAAATCTGGTAGAGGTACTATATAACAGGGACAGGTACTGGAAGGGCCTGAAAAGAATAATTGATCTAGACCTTAGATCATTGAATGTAAATGGATTAGTATCTGCCAAACATGCAAAACTGCAGGCAATATACGATCAGTTGAAAGGTATTGGAGGCAGGGAATGACCAGATGCAATATGTGTGCAAGAAGCACATTTAATGGACAATCCAGACC